TATTTAAATATAAATATGATCCCGAGCCAAATTTCGGACCCGAGTATTACATCTTCATGAACCACAGTGCTCTAAGATGAAGAGTGTTGGGACTGTTTCATAAAATAGCATTTTTGAGACTAGATGATACCTAGGTGATTATTTCTCATCTTGCTTCATTAATTTTTAAAAATCAACACAATGATTTAACATCTTACATGTTTAGCTTTCTGGAACTTTATATAATTTTCATTCACAACTAGTGATTAGTTTTGGTTTGTTATGCAATTAATCACCATCTGATCCATCTACCCGTTCAAAAATGGAGTTGAAAGTAAAAGAATTTTGGGAAGTTTAAGCTAATAGTAAATAATTCAATATAGTATATATAATATGTCCTCTTGCGTGAAGTCCATCAAGTGAATGCATCAGACAGGCTAAGTGTACCTCAGGCAAATTAAAATTTGAAGATTATAACTTTGATGTCTTTTCTAAATAACAGAGTGAAGGAAAACAAAAGAAAAGAAGCTCAACCGATATTAAAAAATGCAAGCTATTATTTATATTCTAATACTAATTAACCGCTTGGAAAGGATAGTCAGCTCCATAAACTGTTAGTTTCATATTTGAGAAATTTTTAAGGATACATTCATATGCTATATGTATATATGTATAAATTTTCCTATTATATTAGTATGACCTAAGTAGTTCTCAATTAATGAATGATAATAATTAATTTTCCTTTTTTACATTTTCTTGAGAAGAAGAAAAATCTTACATGAGACATTATATTACATTTCAAGATGAGTTCTTCCATTTATTCAAATTTATTACTTGTATTTCTTTTATATGGTTGACAGAAATAACAAGATTCTCTATGGCAAACTAGATATGAAAAATATTTAAGATTTTTTTTGATCGAAATGAAATATAGTCATAATTCCAGCTCATTATGGTTGTTGTGATCCGAATGATGCAAGTGTTTCTACATACTTCAAAATTGATGAAAGGATGGAAGAGCTAGGAAAGAAAATGGTTGGACATTGTGCAGGCTTGCCATTAGCCATTACGGAGTTAGGGGGACTCTTGGCAACAAAACATACATTAAAATAGTGGCGAATGGTGGCTGAGAACATATAAACATACATCACAAAGCGCATTGGTTATGCAGAAGATTGTTATGCAATTTTTAATGTTCTATCTTTGAGCTATGATGATTTTCTCCCTCATTTAAAATAATGTTTTCTATATTTAGGCCATTTTCCTGAAGATTATGAAATACTGGTGGATAAATTGATTAAATTTTGGATAGCTAATGGAACAGTTCCATCGGATCATGATAGAGGAGGGGGTCAAGGATGAACCTTAGAGGATGTGGCTGAAAGCTACCTCGAGGAGCTGGTAGAGAGGAGCATTGTTATAGTTGAAAGCAGACACAAACGATGCTCAACAATCTTTACTTATTAGGTGCATGATCTCATGCAAGATCTTTGCTTATTGAAAGCTGAGCGAGAAGGCTTCTTACATGTTATAAATCTCAAGTCTCAAGGACCAAATGATGAAGTGTAACACCCAAATTATTATTTTTATTTTTGTATTTGAATTTTTGTTTAATTTTTTTATATATATATTTAATTTATAAGATTTTATTTCAATTTAATTTAATTTAATGAAAATAAAAATAATAATAATGATAAAATAGGGTAAAATTATTTTTTTGGATTTAATTGAAATTGATTTTGGAAAAAATGGGTGAAAATTTAGATTATGGGGGTATTTTTGAAAAGAAAAAAAATTCCAAAAAACTGAGACTTACCAGCGGCGAAGCTCTCAGGTGCGGGAGCTCCTCCGGTGCGAGTTGCGATTTGGTGTTTTGCTCTGGTCAACCTGTAGAAAAAAGGACAGTGGTCACAGTGGTATAAAAATTACATCGAACGAGAACCGGGAAGGGCCTCATCGGAGATAAAAACTGAGGAAACCCGCGGCGGCGCTACTAGACTTTGGCGGTGTTTTTCGGTCAATTGGCTGGTGGTTTGGCTCCGATTTGCCACAGGGAGGTTCAGCATCGAAAAACGAGCCAATGGGAGAAATTTTACCTCGTTTGGCGGCCGAAAAATCCTCCGATGTGGCGGCGGGTGGCGGCGGTCGGTTCCTCTGATGGCTGGGTCATCTTCTCCGACGAGGGTTCTGGTGGCTAGGGTTTGGGGTTGGGTGTGGATGCGATTATTTATAATCTTCTCCTTTTAATCTGAGCCGTCCATCATGATTTAATCTGAGCCGTCTATCGTGATGCGATCTGAACCGTCCGCACCCGTGAGATCTGGACTGTTCATATTTTGTTTGTAGTGAATGTTAAATTTTGTGAGTTAATTTAATAATTTTTCACAGATTCAAAAATTATTAAAATTACGTAATATTTTGTTTATTCAAAGAAAACGTGTATAATTTGTTTGGATAAATAAATAGCGAAGAGATATAAAGAAAAATAAACTGGATTATTATAATATTTTGTTTCTTTTAACTTTACAAAGAAAAGAATTAGTGTAAGAAAATAGTTAATAACATCTCCCATTGTATTATTCATGTTATTATTTTGCACACAAAAGATTGATAGAATTGTGAGTGTGCTACTGATCCTATTAATATAATATTAAAAAATTAACTGTTTTTAGTCTATAAATTATTGACACATTTTATTACATCTTTGCTATTAAAGTTAAAAATTAGTTTAAAATCAAAACTTTATAGTTACAAAGTTTACGAGAGAAATAACAAAAAGAATTTACATCTTTCATGTATTTTTTTTTATTTATAAAATTTAAAATTATAATAATTAATGATTGACTAATTTACTACTAAACTATTAAAAAATAATAGAAAATTAGATCTCGTAGAGTTCAGTTCTATTATCAACCCATGAACTATATGAACTTAAACTTTTCTTTATAATTCCCGAAATTTCTTTATAGTGATTTCATTTCATGTCTCGTTTGAGAAGAAACCTCAAAGTAACTCTATTTTATCATAATTATATTTTATTCGTACTCCAATTCCATTGATTAAATATTCTTTTGATCTTATTGATGTTAGAGCGATGTCATTTATAGTCTATCTCTTTGTAGTTATTATACATGAAAAATAAAAAAAATCATCACATAATAATCAAGAAATTGAATTTTTTTTTTTACTAAATAATCCAATATTTAAATACATGAAAATACATATTAAAAAAAAATTATTTGGTTGATGGATCATTATCCGGATGATATTTTATCTTAATAAGAGTAATTAATTTATTTTACTCAAATAGCAAAAATTATAATAATTTGTTAGCTGCGAAAACCATTATTTATGATTATCTTTTCT